AGTGGCAGTAGTGTAGTAGTAGTAGTAGTAGTAGTAGTAGTAGTAGTATTACTAGTACTAGTACTAGTACTCGTACTAGGACTAGTAGTAGTAGTAGTAGTAGTAGTAGTAGTAGTAGCAGTAGTAGTTTTAGTAGTAGCAGTAGTAGTAGTAGTAGTAGTCGTCGTAGTCGTAGTCGTAGTCGTAGTAGTAGTAGTATTAGTAGTAGTAGTAGTAGTAGTAGTAGTAGTAGCAGTAGTAGTAGCGTCGTCGTCGTCGTTCGAGCAGGAGCAGGAGGGCAGAAGTAGCTCTAGTAGTAGGGCTCTTGGTTTCCAAGCCACAAGCCGGGTACGTTCAGGGTATCGTTCCGGGTCCACTTAGGATGCACAGTTTTGAGCCACAAAGCCATTCCGAGGCGCGTCTGGATGGCAATGTATTACCTGTTGCGTAACATGTTGTAACCACTGTGAAATTTGGCGGCGGCATCTACTTGCAGAGCCGACAAATTGTGTCCCTGTGCTACGCAACACTTTCCGCGACGGGGTCCAGTTCTGCAACTGACGAGTAGGCTATCTGGAATATGTGTGTTGTGACTACTTTGGCGGCAGCATCGACTTGAGGAACGGACAAATCGTGTACATGTACCTGTGCTATGAACTTTGTAACAATTTCGGCGACGGCGTCTACTTGTGGAACTGACGAATGTGCTGAATATGTGTTTTGTAGCTAATTTGTAACCACCTTGGCGGCGGCGTCCAGTTGCGAAAGGGAGCAATTGCAAGGACTTTGTCGCCAAGCGGTCGTGGCGTGCGTCAATATGCATGGGGTTGCTACGACTTCTGCGCTTGACAGTACATCATAAATCCTGAGCCACGTAACTTGTTTCAACTAGGGCATGTGGGCTTCGACTATAGAAATAGACATCTTGCAGACGTGGGCATCCCCAGAACTCCTACCGACTCCTACCACAGATTGGCCCATCCCTGCCATCCCTAGCAAAGGATCAAATATGACTATTTTTAAAGAACACCATGGTATGGACTGCTGAGGGTTCTGACCGTGCTCATGGCCGCAATCCTCCTGACCGCCGGGATCTCAGTGAAGAGGTGGCGGGTCCTTGGCCGCGACCGTTAAGTTGTACGGCCGGAACCCTTCCATCCCCGTTGCCGTCAAACATGCAGCTTTATCCTGTGACTTCAGTTGGGGTCTGAGTGTCTTTTTTGCGTCCGAAGTCGCAGCTGCAGCCGCAACCTTGATACCCAAAGCTTGAACTCCAAACTAAAAATTCCAATACCAAGAATTGAACCGCAACAGTGCCAGCTGCTTGGAGAGCACCCAACACCGGTCGCTGGACCAAGAACGCTTAATCCCGGCAGCCTCACTATTCCGCAAACGCCAAAAAGCCCCAGTTCGAGGCACTTCCTTGCTCCCGCCGCAAAACCAACTGCTGTTCACGGCGTTTCGGAGGATTCAACTTGCCTGGCACCCGGAAATTAGCCTATCTTTGAGGGTTTCGGGTAAATGGTTTTAGCACTCCGGGCTTGCAGATTGAAGCAAGGGCTTTGGCTTGAGGTAGAACCGGATTTGGCTTCAAAGTATAATGTGCAGGTTTGATGAAGTTCGTGCTCGAGGGTTTAAGATTGGGTGAGTGGGTGGGTGGGCGGGATGTTGAAGTTGAGCCAGAGGGTATGGATCTTTCTTTGCAGGAAGGGTGGGGGGCCTAAGGTTTTGGCTGGCGCGTCGTTTCGACGTTGCAGTAAGACGAAGCATCGTGATTTGTGTTGGTTATATTTTAACTGATATCCTCCAAGTTTTTGGGTGAATCTCGAACCGGACACATCCAGCTGAGTTGGCTTCAGGGCTGCAGTGCTAGTTAACCAATTCTGTTGCGAGTCCACGTGGCACAGGACTCGGACAGTTCAATCTCCGAATCACTGGCGTTTCAGCAGTTTTAGATCGGGGTGGTGGAAGTGCTGTAGGACCTTAGGATTTATGGGTCACTTCGAAGGTCTCAGTCTTCGAAATTTAATCGCGGTGCCCCTCGATTTTACGAAGCTGCTGTTTTGCATTTTGCAGCCCCCACCACAGCAATACCATGAGCTTCCGCTGCCTTGAACTCTTGTCTGCCCCTCGATTTGGTCGAAGCCTTCTGGACTTGGCGATTGTACACAGCACCCTCGATGATTGTTCATGCCTTCGAGGACGAAGGTCTGAGGCATCCAGCTTGGACAATGTGCACCATGAGCATTGAAATACCCCTACCTCACCTGTTGCATCGCGAGGTTTTGGCGGGTGCACATGTCCTGGAAGTTCATTTACGTGACTTGGCGATTTCTACATGAATGAGAGCTTACAGAAACAGAAAGAGTAGTATGAGTATTGGTAAAGAGCACAGAGGGCATAGATTGGATTGGGACATGAGTGCCCGCTTTGCAGTTACATTATGACTTCATAGGTTGAGGAGTCGGGATAATTGTTTATGATACCTATACATCCACACTGGCCTGCCAGGATCCTGAGGCCCTGTAGTATGTGGAAAGCAGCAATGTGCCGAAGGTACTGCTCCTGGTGCATGCACCGACACGGCTTTGGATTTGGCAGCTAGGAAGAAATATTCTGATTCGGGTGGAGCTCTTTGGGGTGTCGAGCTTCAGTTTTCGGGGAGGATTATGGCCTGTGCGTTCAACAGCGACTGAGCAGGCTCCGGTCCGAGGCTACAAGAGCTCGTGGTACGAAGCTGCTGTGATGATAAACCGTGTTTCAGAGCGCGTGGAAACTCAGTGACAGAAATGTCGCGCCGCACGTGTAAAGCGTAAAGAGGTCGAAGCCACGACAAGGTCAAAGAGGGCGGCGGTAGGTACGCCAGCAGCAGAGCAAACAGAAGAACACAAAGCCTCGGGGAAGTACGGCTCACTGGGAGAATTTTTACATACTACCGCGCTCAACCACATGCTTGTAAATACTGCCGAGTAGTTAACGTTGCTGCAGAGCATCAGTGCCTACTGGTGGGGTCTTGTGCTGCATGGTAAGCAAGATAGTTGGAACACAGTAGCCCGGACAAGGTCTAGCGGCAGCAAGGCAAACCGAATTGACAACCCCTTACAACGTGTGTGCAAGTTAGTGAACTACGCAGAACCGGGTTTTGAATAGAGAACCGATCCTGGAGCCTGGACACATAGCCGACTCCCTGGTTTCGAGGTACCATCGCCGGGAACCCTTGAGCTCCGTCTCGTTCCGAGGTTTTTCTTCCCGGCAATCCTCGTTTTCGTCGATCGCCTCCTTCTTGCAAATCGCCAGGTGTCCTGGACTAAATGCTTGCCTGCATTGCATTGGCCTGCACGGCCTTTCGTCAATGTGTGTGTGTGTGTACTGTGGGGTCCCTTTACTGCTGCAGACTGGCATGCTGGCAGCTTGCTGTTCCAAGTTCTTAGACCCAGGCTTTTGATGCACGGAGTCGAAGCTACACCTTCGCCACATACCCTGAGTTCAGTCTCACGGGCTTAACGTCTAGATCCAGGCTTCATGGGTCGAGGGGAAAGGCCTTTGACCTTCAAACATCCCAGCCCACCCAAGCGTCTGGCTGCAGAACCCGGGAGGAGTCTAAGATGTCCCGGCCCTCTGTTTCAGGGCTTTCGCACTTGCGTTGCCACGACCTTCCAAAACCAGATCCGGCA